TGAGGCTAACCCTGAGAGGAGTAGTATACCATTGAGGGAAACAATTGTGGGGTTGGGGAAATCCTTGGGGGGTTTGGGGGTTTTGGGGAGGATGTGGAAGAGTTGGTGGGGGGAGGCCCAATGAAGAACAACCATGATGACTGATAGATCAAATTCAAGAGCAAGAGGCCCGACCTGGGAAATGGGTTAGAGGAGGGGAGAGAGAAATTGAAGGAATTTCCACTTCAAGATTAAGGGAAAAGTGTGCAAAATGGCTTGAAGTGCAAAAACCTTTTTGATGAAAAACACCCTCACACGCATTGCAAACCGTGCTGGGACTGTTACAATGACACTGTTGTTAACCACTTTGACAAATCTAAAGGGAAAAAAGGGGACAGGCCACAGGGCAATTTTGTGCGAAAGAAGTCCAGTGACTCTGAAGCTGGGCCTAGTGGCATTAAAAAGAAGGGAATAAACCCCCGAAAAGGACTTGCTCCTCAAGTCCTAAAGAAGGGGTTCCCCTTTAAACTAAGAAAATAATGCTCCCCCTCCCCATCCCATCAATCATCACCAGATCTTCAAAAAAAGTAAATGTCATGTAATTTTTGGGATGCCTTTTTTAGTTTTGTGTATAAAATTTAAATTTTTTTTGTGGAAAAAAAAATTTTTTTTTCATACTTTTGGGTGTTTGCACGGGTAATTTTTTTTCCATTATTTCTTATGGGGGGGAAAAATTTAATTCGCAAGCGAACATTTCGCATAAGACCAGCCCCTTGCAGGATTAAATTCGCATGCGGGGGTCCATTTTCATTTGGTACATTCCTATTTTCCTAATCACTGGTTTGGGGTTGTTTCTGCAAAAAAAAGTCACCAGGGCCCCAAGAAAGTCTATGCCCAAACCCCCCGAGAAAAAAGTCGCTAATGACTTATGAAATGAAGAAAGAGATAATTGCAAAGTACGAAAGTGGAGTGCGTGTGTCGGAGCTGGTCAGGTTGTATAATAAACCCCAATCAACCATCTCTACTATAGTGACGAGGAAAACGGCAATCAAGGAAGCTGTTCTTGCAAAAGGTGCAACTGTGATTACGAAACAGCGACCGCAAGTGTTAGAAAATGTTGAGAGATTGTTACTCGTGTGGATAAATGAAAAACAGATAGCATCTCTCAAGCGATCATTTGTGAAAAGGCTAGGCAGTTGCATGACGATTTGGTAAAGGAATTGCCTGCAACTAGTGATGTGAGTGAATTTAAGGCCAGCAAAGGTTGGTTTGAAAGATTTAACAATCGTAGTGGCATACATAGTGTGATTAGGCATGGTAAGGCTGCCAGTTATGTTGTGCAACAGAAGTCCAGTGACTCTCAAGCTGGTCCTAGTGGCATTAAAAGAAGAAGGGAAGTAACCCCAGAAAAGGACTTGCTACCTCAAGTCCTAATGGAAGGGGATTCCCCTTCTAAACACTAACACCTCTCCCCTCCTCCCATCCCATCAGTCATCACCAGATCTTCATTAAAGGTAAGTGTCAATTATTTTATTGTTATTGTAATTATTCTATTGCATTAAACTTAATATTTCATGTAGTAAAAATTTTTTTTTCATACTTTTGGGTGTCTTGCACGGATTAATTTGATTTCCATTATTTCTTATGAGGAAAATTGATTCGGTTTTCGATATTATCGGTATTCGATGAGCTCTCAGGAATAGATTAATATCGAATACCGGGGGTCCACTGTATTTACATTTTAATTTATAAATAAGTAAGTTTAATCAGTTATACACAAATACAGTTATGTACATAGATTATCATACATAGCAGCATATGTGTAAAGTACCTTGTATAACCCAAAAGCCAGTGTGACTTATTTCCACTGGGGTCCTTTTATATTTACACTTATACATTGGACCCCCACTTAACGATCACCTCCCAATGCGACCAATTATGTAAGTGTATTTATGCAAGTGCGTTTGAACGTGTATGTTTGGGGTTCTGAAATGGACTAATCTACGTCACAATATTCCTTATGGGAACAAATTCGGTCAGTACTGGCACCTGAACATACTTCTGGAATGAAAAAATATCGTTAACCGGGGGTCCACTGTATTTACTTTTATACTTATGCTTTTATATTTACACTTACCTTGGAGGAGATGTTAGTTTAATTAGTTAGTTTGATGGAGATGCTGGCAGAGGTTTAGGGTGGTGGAAGATAGCAGGGCGGCATTATGTTTATTGGCTCTATACACATCAAACAACATTGGAGAGTTACTTTAATATTTTTCTATCACTTAATCACTTAACTTACTTGCTATACTGTTAATTCTACAATTTATCGCTGGCTGGAGCTATAGCTTTTATCGATACCTGCTGTTTTAGTATCATACATATTGTAGAATCACTGAAGGCACACTCTCCACTCTTTCTTCCTCCTTTACTTTGATACTCTGCTATGAGTTTTTTCTTGAATTCTATGGTGTTTCTCACCTTCTTTACCAAAGGGCTGGCACTAGGAGCTTTCTTTGGGCTCCTGGTGGCTTATTTAGCAGTTGGAAGCACAAAAAACAATGGATTATTATGAAATGTCTTGTATGAACCCGTGGGGTGATGGTCACGTGCTGGTAAACAATGGCACACTGAGTGTGAATAGTGCAGGAGACTGGCTTTGTGTGCATGCTGACGGGTGGACGCGTACCGGACAGTCGCCGAATCACGAGTCCAATCACGAACCGCGAAGCTAAATTTTACCGAAAAACTTGCTGAAAGTCGGATTTCATGAAAGTCGTGGCCGCCGAATGCCTGGGGTCCACTGTATTCATTTTCTCTTCTTTCTTTTCTTTCAACAAACTGGCCGTATCCCACCGAAGCAAGGTGGCCCTAAAGGAAAAACAAAAGTTTCTTTTTTTAACTTTAGTAATGTATACAAGAGGAGTTATTAGCCATAGCATGGCTTAAGGAGGAAGTATTCAGTTCCACTTTCCTATGGAGATAAGAGGAAATGAGAACAAGAATTTGTAAGAAAATAGAAAAAAACAGAGGGGTGTGTATACAGCCTCGCTTCACTTAATGACGGAGTTCTGTTCCTGAGACCAAGTTAGTAAATGATATCGTTGCTAAGTGAGGAGCATACTATAATGGTAGCAGGTTTGGGTCAGCCATCTTTGATATTGTTTTAATGTCGCCTTTGCACCATTTATAAATATTTATACAGTAGTGTATTGAATATTATAATAAACAGAATATGTAGAGGAAATCAGCTCTAATATACTGTATGTTATTTAAGTATGCATACTGGTCAGAGAGCCTGTCGTAAATCTGAGTCATCAGTAAACGAGAATGTTGCTAAGTGAGGAGAGGCTATATATACAGTGGACCCCCGCTTAACGATCACCTCCAAATGCGACCAATTATGTAAGTGTATTTATGTAAGTGCGTTTGTACGTGTATGTTTGGGGGTCTGAAATGGACTAATCTACTTCACAATATTCCTTATGGGAAAAAAATCGGTCAGTACTGGCACCTGAACATACTACTGGAATGAAAAAAGTTCGTTAACCGGGGTCCACTGTATATGCTTGTACGTGCAAGTGTAGTGTAACCTAAGTGTAGTAGAAGTAACAAGACGTACCTGAAATCTTGCATGTTTATAAGACAGAAAAAAAACACCAGCAATCCTACCATCATGTAAAACAATTACAGGCTTCTGTTTTACACTTACAGTACTTGGCAGGACAGTAGTACCTCCAGGTAAACTTCAAACTCCTTCCTGGGCAGTTGCTGTCTACCAACCTACTACCTACATCATTTTCTCTTACATTGTTTTAACCCTTTGACTGTTTACGTTGTATATATACGTCTTACACGCCACTGTTTCTGACGTATTTAAACATGTAAATTCTAGCGGCTTCAAATCAAGCAGGAGAAAGCTGGTAGGCCCACATGTGAGAGAATGGGTCTGTGTGGTCAGTGTGCACCACATAAAAAAAATCCTGCAGCATGCAGTGCATAATGAGAAAAAAAACTGACCGTTTTTTTAATTAAAACGCCGACTTTGAGGTGTATTTTCGTATAGTATTTATCTTCGTATTCTCGTTTTCATGGGCTCAGGTGATGAAATGGAAAACATATTACAGAAATAGAGATGATTTTCATTACTTTCACGATGAAAACGACCTTGAAATTGAGTTCTAAGTAGCGGAAATGTTCGATTTTTACCAATGCTCAGGAGTAAGCAATACGTCCAATACACGTCAACTGGGGAGTCTAATATTCTTTCACTAGTGCACTGATATTATTTATACCTTTTTTACAATATTGCAGTAGTCTGCATAACAGTAAATTTAGTATTTTTTTGTATGAATAAAAAATCAAAATAGAAAGCAATAGTAATAAAAGGGGGGCCTAGAGATGTGACTAATGAACAGAGGATATATTATTTTAGTGCCAAGAATGTCTACATTGTTTATTCTGGACCCTATTTCGAAATTGGCATCTTTTTTAATTTGCGTGAAATTGGCCAAATTGCCAATTTCTGACCACTTTATTGGGTAGTTCAAATCGGTAAATGGGCAGTTTCTTGTACTCGACTGATAGAAAAAACGGAGTTCTAAATAAATATCTATGAGTTTGGTCAACTGGAACAACGGAATTGGCCAAAAACAGGACTCAAAGTCGGCGAAATTGCCGATGTGCATATGTTGCAGAGACCGCTAACTTCGCAGGAGAGTAATTCCGTGAGTTTTCGACCAAATTTCGTACTTTTGGTGTCATTACCATCGGGAAAAGATTCTCTATCATTTTATAAGAAAAAATAGTTTTTTTTTTCCAAAACTTTTGCGACATAGAATGACAGCTTCAGAAAGGGGCTTGTGACAGTCAAAGGGTTAATATAGCATGGGTTCTTGTTATTTTTAAATGTTTTTGCATCCATTTTCTCATACGGGCGGGGCCAGGAGCTGTGTATCGACCCCTGCAACCACAATTAGGCAAGTACAGTACCAAAACAGTAACAATTTTTTTTTTTTCAGGGAGCAGCGTGGTGGAAGGAGAATTTAAAATTACTAATCAGAACTTCTGGCCGGGTTTGGAAGACCCCACTTCAGAAGAGTATAGATCAATGGCTCAATCAATTGAAGATGAGGTAAGCTTAGCCTTGAGTAATTAACAGCTTAAGTTTTATCCTCTTATTGCATACATATTGTTATCCTTTTATTATATTTTATTACCATTTTTGAAAACAGTAACTAATGTATGGGATATGTGTTTCTCTACTACTTTAATATTTCCACAAAACACACTTCAGGATATGTTTACATTCACCATATTTTACACAGACACATTTCTTATCCTACCAGTGCCTGCCTTGTATATCCTTATAAATTGACATACACTTGGTATACCTTACTATTGTATTACCAACGGCCTGGTTGATCAGGCCTTCATCTACCAAGAGGCCTTATCTGGGACCAGCCTGTGGGGGTATTTCCCACCCCCAGAAACATCTTTAAGGTACATGTATCCTTCAGGTAAAGATCTTCAGTGAGAGGCTCTTGATACTATCTTGGATTGAACCTGATAGCCTCCTATTGCCCTAATTTTTCTGTGACCCATATGGATTTAGCTATTCCTGGTCAAAGAGACATTCGGGTGTATGTTGGTAATCCTTTATTCAGGTACAACATAATGAATGCTCCTAGCTGCAAAGAGACAAAACACACAAATTAGGATGCACAACCTGACGTTGTGAGTACACGTTGTACCTCCTAGTCCTGATATATCATTGACTGGCACAGTATGGACAGACATCTACAGTGGGTGTGCATTGTCTTCCCCGGCACAATACGTGAGTATTAACTTACGTATCAGGGAGGTAATAAGTGTTCCGTCGGCCTCATGCTCTCTATGTTTACACTCCCGTTTCTCCCCCTCACCTACAGGCAGCGCCCTGGTGCTGCCAGCCCGCCGAATTTGACTCACTCTGTCACCTCATCTCCATCCCACATTCCCCCCAGTTTCCAGCAGGAAACTCATCACTATGTGACATAATCCCGTAGGTACGCTGGCGGACGTCTGTCTCTGTGTGGTCTTGGAGGTGGCGATACGGGAGTGTTTTGTGCGACTGTCTGGCCGAGTGCTGACTCTTGTGCCTGTGGGAGTGCCTGGTCTGCATGCTTTATGGGTGGTTCTGGGGTTGTTGCTGTGTCGTGTGACTGTGGGGGTGTGGTCGCTGCATCGCCACTGGGTATCTGAGGCAGCTCACTGTTCTGTGCTGCACTACATGCTGGCGTGGGTAGGGGGTTGGGGGGCGGGGGAACAGGGTATGATGGTGGCATGGGCTGGTTGGCATTGGCCAGCCCCTGAATGTGGCGCAGGAACTGCCAATTGCGCAGAGTAATCTGTCCCAAGCCATCTACTTTGACCAAGTAATGGTCATACGGCTTCAACTCCACTACCACACCGGTCCTGTCCCATCTCGTGCTGTGGTTCCCAGTTTGGTTTTGCAGAAGCACTCGATTGCCGGGCACTAAGGGGGGAAGCTGCCAACGTGAGTGTAAACAAAGAGAGTGTGAGGCCGACGGAACACTTATTACCTCCCTGATACGTAAGTTAATATTCATGTATTGTGCGGGGAAGGCAATGCACACCCACTGTATGTGTCCGCCCATACTGTGCCAGTCAATGATATATCAGGACTAGGAGGTACAACGTGTACTCACAATGTCAGGTTGTGCATCCTAATTTGTGTGTTTTGTCTCTTTGCAGCTAGGAGCATTCATTATGTTGTACCTGAATAAAGGATTACCAACACACACATGAATGTCTCTTTGACCATGCTCCTAGGTATCAGGGAGGTAATAAGTGTTCTGTCGGCCTCACGCTCTCTTTGTTTACACTCGCGTTTCTCCCCCTCACCTACAAGCGGCACCCCAGTGCTGCCAGCCCTCCGAATTTGACTCACTCTGTGCCACCCCATCTCCATCCCACAATTCCCACATTATAATCTTCATGAGATAACTTGCCAGTGCCTCTTCCAGTCAGTTTCAAACATTTAATGATAATGTGTTGTGAAGAACGCTTTAGATTGTTATTGGTCTGCTTAAGTACCAATTCATAAAATATTACATCATCTTCTCAGCTGTCTTTGTCTGGTAGGTCATAGGTGGTATGCAGATTTCCACCTTACTACAAAAACAAAAATAATTTATTTTTTTGTTGGATTGTAGATATTTTTTAAATAGAATGCAGTAGAGAAAAGAACATTGAGAAATATTGAAAACACAAGCATTATTATGGCATTTTTTAAGTTTCATTAGTTGAATGAGCTCTTAAATGTATTTTTCAATGGCTTTTATTGTAGACCAAGTCATATACTCCAGTCCAATTTTTTTCTCCCTCCATGGTTTTCATTTATAATTTGAGAATGCCTCATCTGATGGGCTTCAAATTTTCATTGCAGTAAATTATAATTAGGGGAAGGCTAATGGCAGTACTGTATTAGATTGAGGAGGTGCCCTTTTGTCAATTTATAAAGCAATTGCTGATTTTGGTTTCTGTGTAATAACCTGAGAAATCTTTTTTGAATCTTCAAACATTCAGCACTGGTGTATCCTGCTTATGAGAAGGTAGAAATTGTTATTGGATTGTGTAGGTACTCATTTTCTGATTTTATTTTTTTAGGGTGGTATGGTGTTCTTTTCCATTAAATAATTATAATTTGAGTATGCCTCTTCTGAAGGGCTGTGTTCTTTAATGGCTGATGCATATTAGGAAAAAGAAATTTTTTCAGGGGACAAACTTGCCAATTAGCTAACATATTTAATGAACTTGGAATATGCATTTATTGGTTGGAGTATGCATTTATTGGTCTTTTACTGGTGGTGGTGTGCTTTTCTCAAGGAATGCTTAGCATTGATTTTTTGTTTGTGCAAGTTTTAATTTGCCCATTTCATTAATTTGGTTTATGTGCAATAACTGGAGAATGCTTCTCTTTTGCTTCAAACCTTACTTGCAGGGGTATCTTGCTTAGAGGAAAATTTGGAATGATTTTGAGTTGTGTCAGTGTCAGCTTCCCAGTTTTATTTGAGAATTGAAAAAGTTGAAATACTCTCCTAATTTCCATGTGATAGTTTGTGAATGCCTCACTTGACTGACTTCAAACCATAATGGTGACAACCTGAGAATGCAACTTTGTTACTATTTAACTTCATTACCTAACAGAATACTCCATTCTACTGATTACACAGCAACACAGTAAATGACCATATGACCTGTCTTTGTAATACTCATTTGTACTAAATTGTTATCTGTTTTACAATAATTTTTGTACCACTGAATATATCATTGCTTAGTTAATCTTAAGTTAATTTTAAGCCTGCCCATAATGCTCTGCAAACAAAGGGCTTTGGCATGCTGCACTTTAAAAATTGTATTCTTTGTACTTCTCTGTATCATGTTCAAATTAAATAAATAATTAAATAAGTAAATAAATAAATAAATACTGATTGTACAGCAATGCAAGCAACCATACGACCTGTTTTTGTAATACTCATTTGTGCTTAATTGTTATCTGTTTACAATAATGTTTTACCACTGAATACTGCATTGCTTAGTTAATCTTAAGTTAATTTTAAGCCTGCCCGTAATGCTATGCATTCAAGTGGCTTTGGCATGCTGCATTTAACTGTATTCTTTTGTACTTCTCTGTATCATGTTCAAATTAATAAATAAATAAAACTTCCGAGCAACCTCATACTTAATGCTGATGTATTTTGGCATACTGTATTGGTCTATGCAGTAACAAGAAAATACCTCTTCTGACTGGCATTAAGCTTTCAAGGCTGGAAGGTTCAAATTGGTTTTGGGCTGTGTAGGTGCCGATTTGCCATTTTTTGTTGAACTTTGATTGTTCCCATGTGATAACTTGTGAATGCCTCTTCTGATTGGCTTCAAATTTTCATTGCTGTTATTTAATTACATTAGAAAGTCATGTTGCATTGAGGTAGAGGGGTCTAGACTTATGGGGATATAGGAATACCTTTCTCGGAGTATGCAGCAACTGTAACACATCTAGTTAGAACATTTCACTCTGTGTAGAGCTTCATCATGTCATGAGCTAATAATATTCTAAGGCCAACCCAAAACTCTAAGCTAATGAACATCTTACAGTTGTCAGTGACAAAACATTATATACCTGATAATACAGTACATATGCATCTTCCAGTACACAAATAATCTTTATAATAATGTATGTGGTTACCATATGTCATGCTTATTTTTTTTTTCCTTTAACCAAAATTGGTATATCCAGTGCTTGTCTGTGTAGAGAAATTCACTGAAGTTAATACAGTATAGTTCAAAGCCAGTACAGTGGACCCTCGACCAGCGATGGCATCGATTAACGATAAATCTGACTAGTGATACATTTTATCGCAAAAATTTTGCCTCGATTAGTGCTAAAAAACTCGACCAACACTATTCCTTCCGTCTGAGATGCGTCCACTTCTGGCCAGTGTTTGCAAGCCAGCCAGCCACCGCGGTCGCTTCCAAGCATACAATCCCAACATTTCATATTATCACAGCCTTTTTAGTGATTGCACCTGCAAAATAAGTCACCATGGGCCCCAAGAAAGCTTCTAGTGCCAACCCTACAGCAAAAAGGGTGAGAATTACTATGGATATGAAGAAAGAGATCATTGCTAAGTATGAAAGTGGAGTGCATGTCTCTGAGCTGGCCAGGCTGTACACAAAACCCCAATCAACCATCGCTACTATTGTGGCCAAGAAAACGGCAATCAAAGAAGCTGTTCTTGCCAAAGGTGCAACTATGTTTTCGAAACTGAGATTGCAAGTGATAAAAGATGTTGAGAGACTGTTATTGGTATGGATAAACGAAAAACAGATAGCAGGAGATAGCATCTCTCAAGCGATCATATTGAAAAGGCTAGGAAGTTGCATGACGATTTAATTAGAAAAATGCCAGCAACTAGTGGTGATGTGAGTGAATTTAAGGCCAGCAAAGGTTGGTTTGAGAGATTTAAGAATCGTAGTGGCATACATAGTGTGATAAGGCATGGTGAGGCTGCCAGTTTGGACCAAAAAGCAGCTGAAAAAATATGTGCAGGAATTCAAGGAGTACATAGA